AAGAGGGAGGGAAGGTTTGGTCACAGTCACTCATAAAAACACTGAAAAACACAGCAGAAGAGACTTAAAAAGCAAAAAAACATTACAATGCATGAGCATAAATACACATATACACAAATATATAAATACACACATATATATATACACACAAAGCACATATACACAGACTGGGCCACAGCATCGCATGGCAGGGGATGGCTAGTCTGAAGATAACCAGACTCCCTTCTCCAAGGTGAAGTCATTTGGAGCATCTAGGTTTGTAATTGTGGTTGTTGCGTGCCTTCAAGACATTTCCAACATGGTGACCACAAGGTGAAACTATAATTGGTTTTCTGGGGATGAAAGTGATTGGAACCCTGGTCTCCAGAGTCATCGTCCAGTGTGCAAAAAATGATGCCATGCTGGTTTCCTATTCATAATTGCATTACTATTGAAAATATTGTGGAGAAGGAAGTCAAGTCTACTTATGTCAAGTTTATGGGATCAGGAGACATCAAGAGGAGGGGCAGGGGACAGTTCCATCTTGTCTCCTGCATAAGTCATCAGTTGGGAACCCCTCCCCGCCAGCACCAACCGCCGCTCTGGGCCAGAGTGAAGAGAGAGGGGGCCAAGGGACAGTTCCACCTTGGCTCCTGTGCTATTTTATTTATTTACTAGCCATCCCCTGCCATGCGTTGCTGTGGCCCACATGGGGGTTCTGTGTGGGAGGTTTAGCCCAATTCCTTCCTTGGTGGGGTTCAGAATGCTCTGTGATTGTAGGTGAACTATAAATCCCAGCAACTACAACTCCCAAATGTCAAGATTCTATTTTCCCCAAACTCCACCAGTGTTCACATTTGGGCATACTGAGTATTCGTGTAGAGTTTGATCCAGATCCATCATTGTTTGAGTCCACAGTGATCTCTGGATGTAGGTAAACTACAACTCCAAAACCAAAGGACATTGCCCACCAAACCCTTCCAGTATTTTCTGTTGGTCATGGGAGAACTGTGTGCCAAGTTTGGTTCAATTCCATCATTGGTGGGGTTCAGAATACTCTTTGATTGTATGTGAACTATAAATCCCAGCAACTACAACTCCCAAATGACAAAATTGATAAAAAAAATTGAGTGAAGGACATACATTGGGTTGTTAGGTGTCTTGTGTCCAAACTTGGTGTCAATTCGTCCAGTGGTTTTTGAGTTCTAATAATCCCACAAACGAACATTACATTTTTATTTATATAGATTTCAGGTATTTGTATCCCGTCCTTCTCAACCCCTGCTTGGGTGGTGATGGCACGATCGTCAGCATAGATGAACCTCTCTGTCCCTTCTGGCAGTGGCTGATCATTTGTGTAAATGTTAAACACTGACGAAGCAAGCACATTTCCCTGAGGCAGGACATTCTTTTTTTTTCTGCCCGTTGCTTCTCTGGCGTTGGAACTCAACAAAAAAGCTCCTGTTTTGTAGCAGATTTCCTATGAAATTTTCAGGAGTGGATTAATTAGATTTATGTGGGCAAACAGTATTTCTTGTTGTTTCTTTGTCAGTGTTGATGTGGAGATTGTCTGGTTTGCCTACTTTGGAACATGCAACATATAATTGTCTTTCTTTAGGGGTCCCTTTCAAATCTGTGATACTATATCTGTGTGTGTGTGAATCATATCTATCTATCTATGTCTATGGCTGGATGGCTCTTTATCAGGAGGGCTTTGATGACGTTTTCTTGCCCCGGTGAAGGGAGTTGGACTGGATGGCCTTAAGTATTTTCTGTTGGTCATTGGGGTTCTGTGTGGGAATTTTGCCCCAAATCTGTCGTTGGTGGGGTTCAGAATGCTCTTTGATTGTAGGTGAACTATAAATCCCAGCCACTACAACTCTCAATTGTCAGGGTCTATTTCCCACAAACTTCATCTGTGTTCATATTTGGGCATATTGAGTAGTCGTGCCAAGTTTGGTTCAGGTCCATCATTGTTTGAGTCAGTGCTCTCTGGATGTAGGTAAACTATAACTCCAAAACTGAAGGTCAATGCCCACCAAACCCTTCTACTGTTGGTCATGGGAGTCCTGTGTGGCAAGATTGGTTCAATTCTCTGATTGGTGGAGTTCAGAATGCTCTTTGATTGTAGGTAAACTATAAATCCCAGCAACTACAACTCCCAAATGACAAAATTATTTTTTTTATGAGTGATGGTCACTCCTTGGTTTAGTAGGTGTCTTGTGGCCAAATTTGGCGGCAATTCGTCTAGTGGTTTTTGAGTTATGTTAATCCCACAAACGTACATTAAATTTTTATTTATATAGACTACCTGTGGCCAATCTTCCCTCCCTCTTTCTCTCCTTTCTCTCTTTCTCTTCTTCCTTCCCTCTTTTTCTTTTCCTTCTTTCTTCCTTCTCAACCTGTGTCTTTCCTCACTTCCTTTGCTCTTTGGTTCCATCCTTCCTTGTCTCTTTCCTTCCTTTCTTCCCTCCCTCTTTCTCTCTTTCATTCCTTCTCTCCTTCCTTCCCTCTTTCACTTTTTAATTTCCTTCTCTCCTTCCTTCCTTCTCTACCTTTCTTTCTTTCCTTCTCTCCTTCTTTCAATCTTTCTTTCTTTCTTTCCCTCCTTTTCTCCTTCCTTCCTTCCTTTCTCTCCTTCTTTCTTTCTCTCCTCCCTTCCCTCTTTTTCTTTTCCTTCTTCTTTCTTCCTTCTCTACCTGTTTCTTTTCTCACTTCTTTTCTCTTTGGTTCCATCCTTCCTTGTCTCCTTCCTTCCTTCCTTCCTTCCTTCCTTCCTTCCTTCCTTCCTTCCTTCCTTCCTTCCTTCCTTCCTTCCTTCCTTCCTTCCTTCCTTCCCTCTTTCTCTCATTCCTTCTCTCCTTCCTTCCCTCTTTCCCTTTTTATTTCCTTCTCTCCTTCCCTCCGTCTTTCCCTCTTTTTCTCCCTCCTTCCCCCCTTCCTTCTCCCTTTCTGTGTATATGTGTATTGTGTGTATATATATACATATATGTGAGTTTATATATGTGTGTTTGTGTATATTCTGTGTATGTGTTTTGTGTGTGTACATATGCATATACGTGTGTGTCTATATTTGTGCATATGTGTATAAATGTGTGATTGTGTATATTCTGTGTATGTGTTTTGTGTGTGTATATATATGCATATATGTGTGTATATATTTGTGTATTTGAGTATATATGTGTGTTTGTGTATATTCTCTGTATATCTGTTTTATGTGTGTATATATATGCATATCTGTGTGTATATATATTTGTGTATATGAGTAGATATGTGTTTGTGTATATTCTGTGTATATGTGTGTAGTGTGTATATGTATGTATATATTTGTATGTGTATATGTGTGTGTATATGTATGTATATATTTGTGCATATGTGTATAAATGTGTGATTGTGTATATTCTGTGTATGTGTATTGTGTGTGTATATATGCATATATGTGTGTATATATTTGTGTATATGAGTATATATGTGTGATTGTGTATATTCTGTGTATATGTGTTTTGTGTATATCCATATGTGTGTATATATTTGTGTATATGTGTATTTGTGTATATATGTGGTATTGTGCATGCGTTGTAATGTATTTTTTATTTTTTGGCTTTTCAAGTCCCTTCCGCTGTGTTTTTCAGTGTTTTTATGAGTGGTGGTCACTCGTTGACCTGACAGGTGTCTTGTGTCCAAATTTGGTGTTAATTCATCCGGTGGTTTTTGAGTTATGTTAATCCCACAAACGAACATTACATTTTTATTTATATAGATTTACTATATTTATATACCGCCCCTCTCAGCCCGTAGGCAACTCAGGGCGGAAAGGTGTCAGAATTTTAAATTAATAGGAGAAACAGTATTTGCAGATGATTTGGTGATATTTTTTAGAAGATCCTTTGTATACATGAGCCAAGAGTGTGATGCAGCAGCCAAAAAAACCCAATCCAATTCTAGGCTGCATCAAGTGGAGTCTAGTGTCCAAGGGAATCGAGGGAAGTCATTGTCCCACTCTCTTCAGCAGCGGAAAGACCTTCTCTGGAATAAACCTTAGTCAAATTCTGGGCAGAACACCTCAAGAAGGAGATGGGCAAGATGGGAGGTGTCCAGAGAAGGGTATCCAAAATGGTCAAAGGTCTGGAAACCATGAATCCCTCTGAGGAACTGATGAAGGAGCTGGGGATGTTTAGGCTGAAAATGGACCCTGCTTGTTTTCTGCTGCTCCAGATACTTGGACACAACGAAGCAATGGAAACTCAAACCTTGCACCTGTTGCATCCCAGATCAGGAAACGAGACCATAAGATTAAATCCACCACACTGGTCTGTGGGAAAAACAATCCTTTTTTATTGATTGAAATATGGTTACAAAAGAAAGGTAAATGCAAAGTCAAAAAGCCACAATAGAAACACAGCAGTCAGGAAAAATCTCTGAACTTGAGCAAAATTCCAAAAACAACAATACAAAAACCAGGAACCTGTTAGCATATCACTAACCGTACTTGAAAACTAGAAACCTCTGGGAATGCAGGCCATGGAACACAGGAAATCTGCCAAGGTGCTGCCTCAGTCTAAAACGTTGCTTGATCTAACGAGACAACCAGGGAAGGCCCCTTAAACTAAAGAAACTATTTCTTGAAACACCTCCAGACTTTGAAGCCTGAGCCTCCCTCTCCCATAATCTACTTGACCTTCGTAGAAACTGTGATTCACTCCTGTTTTTCCAAATCTGTTCTCTTCGGTCCTCATTAAAAAAACCCAGGTGTGATTCCCTCTGGAGAGCTATCACGGCTTGATTCTAAAACATTCTCATCAGGATGTTTTGTTTCACTTTCCCTGCCACTGACCTCAGAATTAACTTTTTCAACAGGGAAAGATACATGTTCAGTAGTTTGCTCAGTTGCATCAGGAAATACAATCAGAGAATCAGGTTCACACAGAGATTGAGGCTCAGGTTCACACGGAGGCTGAACCCCAACAGCACCAACTGCCCACTTTTTCTCACCCTAGTTCCAACGCAAAGGAAACGTGAGGATGCCTTACCTTCTGGACAGCCTATGCACCATCACTGGAGTTTTCTACGAGCATGCCAAACGGCATGGTGACAGCTCTACCCTGAATAAGAGGGAGATGAAGAGACTTCTCCTGAAGGAGTTCGCCGATGTGATAGAGGTAAGAGCCAGATGGGCAGATGGGATACTGAGGCTGGAGAGCATTGTTTGGTTAGAACAAGGGTGTATGTGCCATCGCGCCTGGGGGCTATAGCTCTTAGTCAGAGGTGGCCCTAGGTAATTTTCAATGGTATTTTGGCACCCCCCCTCCCCCAACCAATCATTGATATGTATTTTCTGTTCGTCGTGAGAGGTCTGTGTGCCATATTTGGTTCAATTCCATCATTGGTGGAGTTCAGAATGCTCTTTGATTGTAGGTGAACTATACATCCCAGTAACTACACTTGCCGCATTTGCTCCCTTGCCTGGCCCGCTTTGGGTCCGGAGGCGTGCCTGAAGACCCCAGCGTGTGCACCAAAAGTCACCTCTTCTCCTGACTTTCTCCTCAGCCATTGGGACCAAGAGAGAGAGAGAGAGAGAGAGAGAGAGAGAGAGGTGGAGATGCCCACCTTTCCTGAAGGTAGGCGCAAAAACAAAGGAGGGAGCGGAGGTGGGAGATACCTCCAGCCAGAGGGCTCTCTCTCTCTCTCTCTCTTGGTCCCAATGGCTGAAGAGAAAGTCAGGAGAAGAGGCGACTTTTGGTGCGCACGCTGGGGTCTTCAGACACGCCTCCGGACCCGAAGTGGGCCAGGCGTGGCGGCTTCGCCCCTTTGCCCACCCGCGGATTGGGGAGAGGAGAGGAGGCAGGTGGAGCGCCAGGGGATTGGGAAAGGGAGCTGGTCATGGGGAAGGGATTGAACGCAGAGAACGATTTAGCGCCAGCTCTGCTTGTGCACCCGATGGCCTTGTGGAGCAGGAATGAGAGTGGCTAGGTGAGGCTCAAGGGCCCGGCCCCTTTGGGAAGAGGAGCGCCCGGCAGCGAGGCAAGAAAGCCGAGGCTCCCCCCGGACTGCTAGGGCTGTTGTGAGCTGAGGGGGCGCTCCTCAAGTGGCGGTCGAGGGGCATTTACAGAGGCCTCTGCGCCCCTGGCAAAAAAAAGTGTTCTGCGACCGCTTACTTCACGTAATGGATGAGCCGCCCCTGCTCTTAGTGAAAGAGGCATGGACATGACATCTTTCCCCAGGGGATTGCTTCTTGTCCTCCTTTAGGGAAACTAGAACTCTCAAAGACCCAAACACTATAGATGACTCAAAATAGGTTTTATTGTTCACAAAGAGTTATCTCTTTAAAGCAATAAGCTGGAAGTTTCAAAGGGGTGAAGGAAAACATACATTAAAGTCTCTGGTTGTCTTGGGTCCAAGGAGTTTTGCAGCTGAGAAGCTTTTCCAGGTCCCTCTTTCTCAATGGCTGTGAATGCCGGAGCAATCCACAACCCCAGTCCAAATGGCCTATGTTTGAAGACACAAAGTCTTCCTCTGGTGCCAAAAGAACTGGTTTGAAGGTGCTTGAGACTTTCCAACATCGTTCAGGTTGATCTGAACATGAAGCATGTCTCAAGGGTAAGAACCTCAGAACTGGTGCTGAGAGGTAACTTAATCAGGGGCTTTTAGAGCCAAGTCTCTTACTCACGTCCATCTGGTAGAAAATCTGATGGTGGAATGAAAAAGGGAAGCACTCCCTTCCTCCAGGAAGAGGTGGAGCCAAACAATTGAGCCGAGAAAGCAATTCAACTGGTGCAAACAACACTGATTGACAGCTGTAAATAACCAATCAATCCAACTATACATAGGTAGGGTAAAAAGGCAGGATTAAGCATGATACAACAGTTTAAATCTTGCAACTAACAGTTCTACACATAGGTGGCACCACTCGTGCCATCACAGTGTTCAAAGGACAACTGTGTGGTTCTTCAGGACCATGTTTGTGGCGCAAGGGATCCTCAGGGATCACAAATGGTCCAGGATGCCCCAAAATGATATCTAATAATAATAATCATCATCATCATCATCATCATCTTTATTTATACCGTGCCACCGAGGGGACTCGGGGCGGCTTACATGAGGCCACACCCATCAATCTAGAAAACACAATATAACACAAAAACACAACAGAAAATCAGAAAATAACATAACATAGCATACAAACCAATGTAAATATGCAGCACAACAATATAAAATCAAAACATTAAACCACTAAAAATGCTCACAGTGGGCAGGGCCAGTTCAACGATTAAAATTTTAAAACACTGGGAGATAGGGCAGTGTGAAATATCAGGAAGGGGATCTGGGGGATGAGGTAGGAGTTTATTGCACAAACCCAAACCGTTCAGGGCTTTGTAGGTCAAAACCTGCACCTTGAATTGGGACCGGAAAATAAATGGCAGCCAGTGGAGCTCCTTAAACAGGGGGGTTGACCGCTCCCTGTAGCTCACACCAGTTAGTATTCTGGCTGCTGCTCGTTGGGCCAGTTGGAATTTCCGGGCCGTCTTCAAGGGCATCCCCACGCAGAGCGCATTAGTCCAATCTAGAGGTAACTAAGGCAGGTAGAAGGTATTTTTGAAGACACATACCTTGGATGCTCCAGAGACTTAAACTTAAACAAAATTGCACCAAAATTCCCTGTTAAATTGCCAGGAAGGTTCTAAACATGTCCTCATGAGCGCATTTGGGGACGGTGGAGGGGAGGGGGACACTATGATATTAGATGAAAGTAGTCTCTTGAAAAGATACCATGGTTTTCTCCTCTTTCAGAATCCTCGTGATCGCAAGACGGTTGAGCTGACCTTCCAGATGTTGGACACCAATGGAGATGGCTTGGTGGACTTCAACGAGTACCTGCTCCTCATCCTCAAAGTGGCTGAGGCATGCTACACTCCCCTGAAGCCAAGACAAGACCTTGGGAAAATAGAAAGAACCACAGCTGAGTGTGGAGGAGAACAACGACAAAACAACAGGAACCAAGTAGAGGACAATGCAAGGACAGGAAGAAGCATCCGTGAGAGAGGAGATTCTGAGCAGAGATATCTTCCTCCAACTGAAGGTACTGAACGAGGGCAAGAGAGACGAAATTGTCATGCACTGGAGCCAGAGACACCAGTGGATGAAAGGAGTCACCAAGATCTTGAAAGGAGAGATCATCGTGGGAGAAATCGTCCATCCCATGAGGCACCAGTGGATGAAAGGAGACACCAAGATCTTGAAAGGAGAGATCATTGTGGGAGAGATCGTCCATCCCATGAGGCACCAGTGGATGAAAGGAGTCACCAAGATCTTSAAAGRAGAGATCATCGTGGGAGAGATCGTCCATCCCATGAGGCACCAGTGGATGAAAGGAGWCACCAAGATCTTGAAAGGAGAGATCATCGTGGGAGAGATCGTCCATCCCATGAGGCACCAGTGGATGAAAGGAGACACCAAGATCTTGAAAGGAGAGATCATCATGGGAGAGATCGTCCACCCTATGAGGCACCAGTGGATGAAAGGAGTCACCAAGATCTTGAAAGGAGAGATCATTGTGGGAGAGATYGTCCATCCCATGAGGCACCAGTGGATGAAAGGAGACACCAAGATCTTGAAAGGAGAGATCATCGTGGGAGAGATCGTCCATCCCATGAGGCACCAGTGGATGAAAGGAGTCGCCAAGATCTTGAAAGGAGAGATCATCGTGGGAGAGATTGTCCATCCCATGAGGCACCAGTGGATGAAAGGAGGCACCAAGATCTTGAAAGGAGAGATCATTGTGGGAGAGATCGTCCATCCCATGAGCCTCAGGAAGTGGAAGATGGCCAAACATACTGGTATGGACAACAACAAAAGACTGAAGCATGGTATCATCAAATAAGACAGAGGGATCCACCAGCTGAAGAGGATTGTCAGCGCTGGTCACAGGATGTCCTCCCAAGAAATGAAAGGGAAAGACAACGTGATGAAAGACAACACCAAGAAGTGAGAACTGAAAGGAGGGACAATTATCCAGAAGACATGGAAACACAATATGAAATTGGACCCCATGATACTGAAGGATGCATAGATGATGAGCAACGGGGTCAAATTTGTAGGCATGATCCACTGGGTGAATATGACTCATTACCCAGAGAAGATAGGAGAACATCTTGGCTCAATGATTCAGAATGGGAGCAGAGGAGAAATGAGACACATGAGAGTGAACGCAGGGCCAGAACTAGTGATCCTGAATGGAGAAGCGGGCATAGAGCAGACCGACAAGATGAGCCTGAATTAGGGCAAACTGAGAGGAGGAGAATCCCCATTCGTGATCGAGATGAGTGGACCCCATCTTATGCATGTCAACCAAGAAGAAGGGAAGAAGAAGAGGACCATCAATGGTCAGACAGCAGAGAGAGAGAACAGATTAGGAGCCATTCACATCAGTCTGAACCCATGGATAGTGAGAGGAGACCTCTCAATTCTTATGAGTCTGAGACCAGAGGTAGTGAGAGGAGAAGACCTCAAGGGGAGGACATAAGAAGGCAGCAGTACCACCAGAACGAAGTAATTGAAAGGAGGACGCCCAGGCCACTTGAGTCTGAATCTGCTGACTGTGAGCAAAACAGGCCTCTGATACATGGACAAGAGGACAATAAACCAAGAGAGCAATATTACGAAGAAGAATCCCAGAGAAGACAAAGTCAATGGAGAAGGACCCAGATACAGGATCCTGACCCCAAGGAGAGTGACTACAGAAGTTGTGAGAGGGAGAGATCCCAGCTAACGGAGCCTCAGACCAGACGCACAGACCAAGACAGGTCCTGTGCCTCAGATGGAAGTCCAAGAGATCACTATCAGAAGAGGCAACAGGGTGACAGGCCAGCACTAACGCAACAAAGGGATAATGATCAGAGAAACAATGAGGCAAATAGGGGTGTTCAGAGGCAAGAGTGGAGATATGAGGTGGTCCCAAGATATGGTGGATTACAAAGACAATCCCCCAAACTTCACATTTACATTGATGATTTTGGCCAAAGGCACAGTGATGACCAAAGAGATGATGAACAGATATGGAGATCCCCTCCATTTCGCCCTCCTACTTCAGACGTTGAGCAAAGGAGAAGGGAGGCTCGTGATGTTGACCCAAGAGATAGTGATCAGCAAATGACAACTCCCTTCTGTGATCCTTTTTCAAGAAATGTTGACCAAAAGCAAACCCAAGAACGTTGGCTTGATGCAAGAGATGATGAACAACAGAAGAGAACCAATATTGAAAACAGAGATTTTGATCAGAGACAAACACAGATACGAGACTTTGACAAAAGAGGTGATGAACAGCAAAGGAGACAATCAAATTCTGTTGACACAAGACATCGTCAACAGGAAAGGAGATTTTCCTCTCACAACACTGAAGACAACATTGCTAACCAGAGAAGAGGCCAAACACACGAGTTTGGCCAAAGAGAAGGTCATCATCAAGGGAGATCTTCCTCACACAATACTTGTGATACGGATATTAACCAGGGGCAGCCAAGAACATACAATTTTAATCCAAGATATGAAGAGCAGGAGAGAGGAACCTCTCCATATGATGCTGAGGGTACAAACATTAACCAAAGAAGAATGCAGACACAAAACATTGGATCAAGGGATATTAAACAAGACAGCAGATTCCCTTATGCTGGAGATGTTGTCCAGAGACGAACTCCCATCCAAGATGACATTCGCCCAAGAGATGGTGAACAACAGAAGGAAAGACCATCATGTAACACTTATGACCAAAGACAGTCAAGAATACACAACACTGATATAAGGAATGAAGAGGAAGAGTGGAGGAACCCTTCACAAGATTCTTATGATATTGATGCTGACCAGGTTGGTCAACAAGATGATGAACAACAGAGGAGAACTAACACCGAGGACAGGGATGCTGATCAAAGAAGAATCTGGGTATGCTACATTGACCCAAGAGATGATGGACCACAGAGAAGATCCTCTTCACGTGATACTTATGCTAGAGGTGTTGATGATAGAAGAACTCAGACCCATGAAGATGACCAAAGAAATGAACAACAGAGGTGGACCCCTTCACGTGACAGCTGTGCTAAAGATGTGGATCAAAGGCAGTCAAGACCCCATGCTGTTGACCCAAGAGATGGAGATCAGGATAGGAGAGTTCTTTCCCATGATATTGAGGGTAGAGATGTTTGCCATAGAAGAACCCAGACATATGACTCAAGGAATGGTGAGCAGCAGAGAAGAACCCGTTCACATACTTATACTACAGATATTGAGCAGAGACAACCAATAACATATGATGTTGACCAAAGAGAGCAATGGAGGAGAACTTCCACATGTGATGGTAAAGAGATTAACCAAAGAAGGATCCAGATACATGAGTATGACCCAAGAGATGGTGAGCAGCAAAGGAATACCACTTCACATGACACTTTGACTGGAGACTTTGACCAGAGAAGAACACAAGGGACTTACAGAAGGGATGATGGACAGCAGAGACAGACTATTTCATGTGGCCTTGAGGGTAGACAAATTGACCAGAGGAGAACCCAAACAAATCCAAGGGATGATGAAGAGCAGAGGCAACCCCGTTCACGTGCAAGAGATGTTGACCAGAGAGGAACATATGAGGTTGACCCAAGAGATGGTGGACAACAGAGGAGAACACCTTCATGTGATCCATATGTTAGAAATGTTGACCACAGACAAACCCAGATACATGATGATGACCCAAGGGATGCTGATCATCACAGATGGTCTCAACCAGAAGACACTGAACGAAGGGTTAGTGAGCAGAGGGGAGCCCAAGCACCTGACACTGATACAAGGGAACAAGGGGAAGACAAGCCAAGTTGCATTGTCCCAAGAGAAGATGAACGACAAAAAAGAACAACTTCACACAACGTTGATGAAAGGACTCGTGATCATAGGAGAACCCAGATTCATGAGGTTGGCCTACTGAATGGCAACCAGCAACAGAGAAACTCTTTATGTGGCATTGATGTTACAGACAGGAGAACACAGATAAATGAAGGTGGCCAAAGAGATGAAAATGAGCCAAGGAGAACAACTTATGTTAGAGATGCAGACCGGAGGCAAACCCAAAGACCTGAGGTTGACCCAAGGCTTGGAGAAGAGCAGAGGCAAATTCAATCATGCAAGACTTCCATAAGGGAAGATGAACAAGAGCCAACCCAGGCACACAATGTTGACCCAAGAAATGATGATCAAGAGAGGCAAGTACCATCAGGTAGACCTAAACAAAGAGAAAGGGAGCAGAGACAAACCCAAGAACATGAGATTGATACAAGTGAACCAAAGGAAACTGAGTCATGTGGCAGTGATCCAAGTCAACAGCAGAGGAGAAATCTATCGCATGAACCTAGGACTCAAGATGCTGACCAGAGATCCACAAAGCCATCTGAGGTGGATACAAGAGATCCTGAGAAGCACAGGGATAGCCAAGTAAGGAAGAGTGGCCAGAGAAGGACAGCACAAACCGATAAGGTTGACTCAAGAGATGGTCAACATCAGAGATCATCAAGAAACACAGAAGAAAGGTCCACTGACCAAATAACATGCCCTCAACCTGGTGACACTGACGTATGGGTTAGGGAGGAGGAGGTAACCCATGAGTCTGGATCTAGAGACCGTATTCGAAACAGACAAGGACAGCAAGCATCTTGGCCTGCTCAATCTGGCCACATCCAGCAGGAAGGTGAGGTTGCATCCAAAAGACGGGAGACAAAGACACAGCAGAAACTAGAGCTTGGAGCCACCAGAGATAAGACAGCTTCCTCCTTGCCTTGTGGCCCTCAGAGCATTGAGGGAAGTACAGGGCAGGAAGCCAACTCAGGTGCGAGAACAGTCGATGAGCCTGAAGCAGCTCAATATGAAGATGGAGAGCCACCTGGTACCTCAGAGAAACAGGAGCCAGTGGTTCAGGAAGGAGATAACAACTGCCCTGGTCCAAGAGAGCAACCATCAGAGGAGGGCGGTGAAGAAGCTCAGCTGCCGTTGGAAGAAGAAGAGGAGAGCCACATTGGCACAGAACGGCCACGGCAGGGAGCTGAGAAAATCCCTGGATCACAAGAGCTTGACACCTCTCAAGGGAAGCCCATTTTCCTGTGTGAAAAAGTCCCTCCTGTGTGCAACCCACTCTATGAATACCTTCTGGCTCAGAAGAAGCTGGAAAAACCCTAAGGAATCAAACCAGACCATCAACCATCTCCGTGTCTTGTTGTCCACCTAGTCAATGGCCTTTTACTCAGATTCTCTATAATTCTATTCAGTACAGTACAACCCTTGTATCTGCAGAGGATGGGTTGATGAACCTACCATGGAAAGAGAATAGATTTCTGAACCTCCCATGGAAACAAAAAGCTATGGATACTAGCAAATTCTATTGAAATGAAGAATTTATCATAGAGCCTTGCTGGAGGACCTAGAAAATTCCTACAGAGGTATTTTCTATAGGAATTCCCCCCGCCCCCCAGTGAGACTCAATAGTAAATTCCAGTAGAGTCATATCATGACAACTTCTCTAAGGATTTCCTAGCTCTTCCAACAAGACTCCTCTCTAGGCATTTGCTGGGCCCTCCAGCAAATTCCAGAGGAGGTATACCATCAAATCAATTGGAAGGGCTACAAAATTCCTCAATAGATATTGTTGGGACTTGTTGCCATGTCCCTCTTTTCTTTGTGGCCCAAAAACCTCCAGATACTGAAAGCAAGGCAATCGTTCAACAGGTTTATTTGGACAAATCACCCTGCGGGGTGAACGAAGGAAAAAGGGTCATATCATGACAGCTTCTCTAAGGATTTCCTAGGTCTTCCAACAAGACTCCTCTCTAGGCATTTGCTGGACCCTCCAGCCAATTCCAGAGAAGCTATCCCATCAAGTCAACTGGAAGGTCTATAAATAGATATTGTTGGGACTTGTTGCCACATCCCTCTTTTCTTTATGGCCCCAAAACCTCCAGATACTGAAAGCAAGGCGATCATTCAACAGGTTTATTTGGACAAATCACCCTGCGGGGTAAACGAAGGGAAAAGGGCACCACATCAGAACGGGCTGTTTTCTCCACTTCGTGACTCATCCATATTTCTTCCTCTGTTTCCTTCTCTTGATACTGGCTGTTATCAGTGTCTGCTTTTCCTCATTTCCCTCCTCCTGCATTCTCTCCCCTTCCTCCTTGTTTACTAGGCAAAAACCTTTTAAATTTTCCCCTTGTCTGAGCTCTCTGCTTCCAGCTGGTAAGTTTCAAATTCAAGCTCCCCTCTCTTTCTATCTCCAGATTTTTTCATCGCCAACTTAGCCCTAGTTCCCTTCTAGGACTGCGCTAGGTTGTGCAATGAGACTCCCTGGTAACTTCCACCCAGAGTATTCCATAAAATCACTTAGAATATTTCTGGAGTTACGCTACCTAGGAATTGGCTAATGGTAGCATCAAGTGGAAGTATAACAAAGAATCACCTGGAAGACCTATAAAATTCCAAGAGAGAACCTATTGTGTTGGATGCAGGCAGTGAAACAGTGGATACTGATCCTGCAGGTATGAGAGTCATACTGTATTCCCATCTTCTACTCTAAATCAACCTCTATGGTGGTGCAAAAGTCCTATCTCGTACAGCCATCGGTGTGGGATGCTGGGACTTATAGTCTTTTACAACAGATCTCTGTTGTATGAAATGTATGAAAAGTATTTTTCTGGGGGGAAATTATAGGTTTTAGGATTAGGAACACTTACAGTTTAGAGCTATCTAGTGGGTTCTGGGGGGGTTGTAGTCAGAGGTGGCCCTAGATCATTTTCAATGGTAAGCAAACAGTATTTTGGCGCCCCCGCCCCCCCACCCCCCAACCAATCACTGATATATATTTTCTGTTCGTCGTGGGAATTCTGTGTAATTTACATTTTAGATTCCATTCATTTAAACATTCCACATTGTATTTATCGTCCAACCCAGAATACAAATATATTCCATGGGTCTCTTGAAGGAAGATTACATCAAGATAGAAAAGTGGGGTTAATAATAATAATAATAATAATAATAATAATAATAATAATAATAATAAACATTTGCAGCCAGAGGCGGCCCTAGGTAATTTTCAACGGTAAGGAAACAGAACTTTGGTGCCCCGCTCCCCCAACCAATCACTGATATATATTTTCTGTTCGTCGTGGGAGTTCTGTGTGCCATATTTGGTTCAATTCCATCATTGGTGGAGTTGAGAATGCTCTTTGATTTTAGGTGAACTATACATCCCAGTAACTACAACTCGCATATCTCAAGGTCTATTTTCCCCCAAGAGCACCCCTGGGCAAAATCAACTATACTGCAAATGCTTACTTTGCGTATGGGTTGACCCGCTCCTGGTTGTAGTCCAGAAAGAAACTTCTAAGACTTCTGGGTCTGCCATAAGTGGAGAAACAAAAGGATGAGAGGCTAGTTCACCCTCATATTGTTGGCCTTCATCTCTTATCATTCCTAGTGGTCAAATGGTATGGGAGTAGTAGTAGTAGTAGTAGTAGTAGTAGTAGTAGTAGTAACTTTATTTGTATTCTGTCTTATCTCCCCAAAGGGACTCAGGGAAGATAGTTCCCCCAATGGGAAAGCAGAAATTCCCATTGGCCCATGCTAGCATAGGCAGTAGTAGGGGATAATGGGATTTGCAGTCCAAGAGCATCTGGAAGACAAAATATGGCATATATGACTTGTTTAATTAACCCAGATTGTGAGCTCTTTTTTCCTCCCATCTTTACTGCCCTGTTTTTGTATAATTATAATTAATTTGCTCTTCTAACCATCTTCAATCAATCAGTGCTAAAGGTATGCCATTCATCCACTTCTTTGGATCAGGGAACAGGTTCGATGGCAGCTGTTCTCAACTTGTGGGTCGCGGCCCCTTGGGGGGTCGACAAGACTGTTCCCAGGGGTCGCATCCACATTCCTGTTCAAGTCTTTGTAAATTCATCCCTCCTCTTAAGCGTATACAGGCAGTCCCCAAGTTACAAACAGGATAGGTTGTGTAGGTTTGTTCTTAAGTTGAATTTGCATGTAAGCCAGAATCGGTACATTTCTTAAGCGTAACTCCAGCCATCCATATGCGTATGTGTGTGTGTGTGTATATATATATACACACACACACATATACACATATACTATCTTTCAATGGCATAGGAAAAGGTTAACACCTCTGTGGTGTCTCACCCTGTTCTTAACTAGGAGTCGTTTGTAACTCAGGGACGGCCTGTAGTCTGAAAAACTGCATCGTCACACAAACATGGACAGTCCTAAGGGGTGAAGTTATGAACTAGCAACTAAAATAATTTTATGGTTGGGCGTCACCACAACATGAAGAAACACCCTGATAACGTCGCTCTGTGGGTTACTTACTAAGATCTTCTAAAACTAAAAATCCACAACATGAAGAACTGTAGTTAAGGGTCGCAGCATTAGGGAAGGTTAAGTACCACTCTTCTATGGCATTAATGAGGAGCCGTGGTGGCGAAATGGGTTAAACCCTTGTGCTGGCTGAACTGCTGACCTGAAAGTCAGTGATTCGAATCCGCGAGATGGGGTGAGCTCCCATCTGTCAGCTCTAGCTCCCCATGCGGGGACATGAGAGAAGCCTCCCATCGGATGGTAACAATTCTGGGCATCCCCTGGACAACGTCCTTGCAGACAGCCAATTCTCTCACACCAGTAACGACTTGGAGTTTCTCAAGTTGCTTCTGACACAATAATTATATATTAACATATTATTAATATTAATAATATATTAATAATGTATTAATAATATATTAATAATATATTAATAATGGTGGCCAGAATTTCTTTTCAGGTCTTAAAATGAAAGGGATTTCATGAAATAAATAAATAAAATAAATATTAATAATATATTAATAATATATTATTTGGGACCCCGGTGGCGCAGTGGATTAAAACCCTAGACTGAAGACCGACAGGTCACAGGTTCGAATCGGGGGAGAGGCAGATGAGCTCCCTCTGTCAGCTCCAGCTCCTCATGCGGGGACATGAGAGAAGCCTCCCACAAGGATGATAAAAATATCAAATCATCCGGGCCTCCCCTGGGCAACGTCCTTGTAGACGGCCAATTCTCTCACACCAGAAGCAACTTGCTCCTGACACGACCAAATAATATATTAATAATATATTAATAATAGTGGCCAGAATTTCTTTTCAGGTCTTAAAATGAAAGAGATTTCATGAAATAAATAAATAAAATAAATAGTTATTTCATGAAATAAACAAAATAAATATTAATAATATATCAATAATATATTAATAATGGTGGCCAGAATTTCTTTTCAGGTGCTAAAATGAAAGAGATTTCATGAAATAAATAAATAAAATAAATATTTATTTCATGAAATAAATAAAATAAATATTAATATTGATAATATATTAATGGAAATAAATAAATAAAATATTTATTTCATGAAATAAATAAATATTAATAATATATTAATGGAAATAAATAAATAAAATATTTATTCCATGAAATAAATAAATAAATAAATATTAATAATATATTAATGGAAATAAATAAATAAATAAAATATTTATTTCATGAAATAAATAAAATAAATATTAATAATATATTAGTAATATATTAGTAATATATCAATAATATATTAATAATGGTGGCCAGAATTACCCTCAGAATCCCAAGAATTCAAGGGAGTGGATGAATCATATTCCAAGTGGCATATATATCAATAAATTACCTTCATCTGATTCAATTGTCGTCTCCGTTTCGTTCTTTTCGTTTGTAAAATCAGAGAATTGTTGGACTGTGAGCCAAGTCTCCACGAAGGACCATAATTCTATGACATTTTTCTAAAATATGTGCCTCACTTGAGTCCCTAAATCAGGAGAAAAATTAAATTAAAAATAAAAAAATTATTGATCCAATGCTAGCAATACATGCATAGACCACTAGGTGGCAACAGAGAGTCAACAAAATCAACAATAATGGAAAATCAAGGGAGTGATGATTCATTGCCTGGAGGAAATGATTAATTGGATGAGTCATGGGAAACTTTGTCCAGGGATTGTGTGTGTGTGTGTGTGTGTGCTTTTCTAGCAAGTCACAGCTAGTCTCCATGGCGTGAAAAATAAAACAAACAAGAGGCAAACAAACAGGCCTTCCCTTTCTCTTCCCTTCTGGGCGTCCT